AGAGAAGATTCTAGAATATTGAATTTTTAAAAAAAATTAATAATTTTTTGTCTTTAAAATCTTAGTCACAAGATAAATTTTAAGTTCTTCCATCTTTCTTGAGTGGTGCTTTAGAATAATTCAACTCAATTGGAATATAAAGTGATAATTGTATATTTATTCTACTCTTAAGAAAAATTTGACAGCTTTTATAGCCACATCATTTTTCAAGTAGTAGATTTTATATATTAAATTCTGAATTCTTCTTCTTTATAAGTAATCCTAAATAGTTGCCACATAAGAGTCCCACAATTAACTCATTTATGGATTTAAATGCAAAAAATGCACTTATGGTCTTTAAAATCATTAATTTAAGAAATTAATAGAGGAATTTTGAAATAAATAGCAATTATTTGGATGTAATAGCTAAAGTAGGCCTTTTACAAAAATTCCTTGAGAAATAATTCCAAAATATATAATCTTTTTTCAATTTAGCTAATATAGGTCTTAATATAATAGTAGTGATTTTTATAGATACTAAAAAATTTAAATTATATTAAAAGATGAGATAAAATCTTTGATTTAAAATCATTCAACAAGAACAAAAAAAAGAAAAGAAACAAAAAAAATAGAAAGAAAAATAAGAAAGTAGAAAAAAAGAAAAATAAATAAATAAATAAATAAAAATGATGGGAGGCGAGAGGTTGTTCTCAAATTTTTGTAGCCGCTTTGCCAATAGAGGTCCAAGTCACCCCAAACTTAGTCTCTCTTCTCTTGTATTTTTTTTGTTTCTTCTCTCATGATGTACAAGCTCTAGCAATCAAAAACTAATTTTGATCTTTACATTGCAAGAGTGTTGCAGTGCAACCTTTGGATCTCTCTTGTTTTAATAAAAAAAATTTGTAAGCATTTTAGAATTTTGGCTATGAAGGTGTGGCCTGGGACTATGATTTATTATGATCCAAATTGTTGTTCTTGTACTAATTTTTAGTTGTACTTCATAGTAACTTGCAACAATACTACAACTATTTTTGGTATAATTTTGTTTCTCGTGGTAGTTCTTTCTTACATAGCATTGAATGTTGAGGCAAGACTATCTTTGATTTTTCTAAATATAGATCTAAACTCTCTCATTATTGATCATTTATTTTGTAGTTTCCTTCCCTTTGTCCATTAGCTTACAAATAGAAAGGCAAATGATATCAATGATTTCATGGTCTTGCTTGTTTTCTTCTTATTACAGTAGTCATTATCAATAACTCAAGGTGGTATCAAGAATTTGAAGAGACAAGACTGTGTTGTTGATTTTATTTTTTCAACTAAAGAATCTTTCTTCTTAGGGTGTTGTTTCCATATCTTTTATCTTAAGAAAAAGCTTGTGGTTGTGTATAACCTTGCACAACTTGCGACTACTTTTGTAAGGCAATTTATAAGAGCCATCTATAATCTTAGACGATCTAAGACAAGTATAATATGAGCTAGCAATTTAGTTGATGTTGACTCATCTTTCTCTTATGTTGTAGAGTAGTCAAGTTAGTCAACTTGACTTTGCTAAGCTATGGTTTGAAATTGTATAATCTTGCATAGATTATCTTTAATCTTTGACATTAAATCTTGGCTTAGTATTCACTTCATTTATTCTTTGGTTGCTTGGTTATCAACAAAAGTCAATGGATAATAAGATTGGTTGCTAAATTTCAATAGTGGAAGGATGACATTTTTTTCTTTTGATATTATTATTTTAAGTAGTCAACGATAAGTTTTAGTAATTTTTACTAGTTGGTGAATTCAACAAGGTGCAGCAACATGCTAGTATTACTTCATACTTGTAACTTAAAGATAGAATTTGTTCTTGTTTTATGGATGCTCCTAGCTTTATATTTTATTAATACAAAGTAATAGCAATAGATTGTGTTGTTTCTTGTTGTCTTTAGGCTACAATCATTGATTGAGGCTTCAAAACAAGTATCAATCTTTTTAAAATTATACAAGCAACTCAAAACGTGAAGCATATCAATGAAACAGTCAAAATTTTGCAAGGCCAATTCATATCATGAGTTCCACCATGTTTCTTAGGAGGTGTTGAGTGAGAGCTCTTAAGAAAAAAAAATTGCATCATTAAAGCTAGATGTCTAAGTCAACAATCGCTACAGCAATGTTAATGCTTCTTAGGATTGGTGATTTAATTTTGTTCATAGAGATTGTTTAAGCACAATAGATACTGTCAAGGTTAATATTCATAGAACACAGAGGTCGTAAAAGAAGAAGACAACCATGAGGCAGTGAGAGTCAATTTCTTTGATAAAAAAATATGATAATTAAGTCTTAGAACTTCTATTCAATGAAGACAACATGCAAGGAAAATAGAGGTTATTATAGATTTTTTTACCAAGTCTATTTCTTCAACTAATTGGAATCTAAAGTCAAGTACAATATCAAGAAGTAGGCAAGACTATTAAATTAATGTTATTGAGATTTAATGAATAAACTATTTTGTATGAATTCAAATCAATGTAGATGAACCTAAATTTTGAACAGATGAATTATGATAGATGAAAATTATTTAAAATTGGATGATTTTTTAACTATAGATGAGAATTTATTTATGGATGAGAAATTATTCACAAATAAAAACTTGGTCATAGATAGAAACTTATCTTACATGAATTAAAAAATTTGGATGAAAATTAATATTAAAAAAATATTAAAATAAAAAATAAAAATAAATAAAATAAAAATTATATAGACTTAAATTAAATCATATGAAAAATTATCTTTGAAGTGTGTATTTGGTTGAATTATTTGAATACCTTGTATTGCTTTGTAATGTGTGGAAGTAGTTGAAGATGAATTTAATTAGTAGAGAATTAGGAAGCTAAAACAAAATAGAAGACAATTTAATCTAGTTCATTGTAGGCTAATTAATATTGGTAAATTTGAATAGATTACATGTTAGAATTATGTCAATCATAATTGAAATTTTTATTGAAATTATTGAATACTTAATCAAATAGTGATAGAAACTTGTTTAATAATTTAGATAATTGAAATCATTGGGAATTTGAGTAGGCTTCCAACTAATGGGGGATTTATTTAGTCCACAGTCTAACAGAAAGTTGGTCCAATAGTTCTGTAGTTTGGTACATTTTAATGCTTTGTATTGCAATTTTGAATTATAATTTCCAAGAATTGAGCAAGCAGTTTTACATTGTCCTATGACTAAGAATTTTTTTTATTAAGATATAAGAACAATGATAATATTATTTATTTATAGTCACAAAGTAGTTGCCTCATTGATTTTTTATAAAAATATGATTTTTTACATATTATTATATTAATATGGTATGAATTTATATAATACATACAAAGAAATCATTGTCTTTGAGGATTCTTTGGTCTTAGTTAAAAGTATCGTCAATCATTAAATAGCTAGAATATAAAATAATTTAAATATTTTTATAGAAGATTAAGTATTTGAGATTTCTTTAGCAACACCATAACTAAAAAAACCTTTAACAAAGAGATGATAGAAATTGGCATTGAGAAGATAATTTTTCACATAACTTGAGTAATTTTAATTTTTTTTCATATTTCATTAATTTGGCAATTATAAACATCTTGCTAGACCTTATAAATATTAAATGTTGTTTTTGGATTTGGAAGAGTTGCTTTTACAAATTGATAATGAACATAGTTATTCAACCAAACGTGTGACCATCTACAAGTTCTTGATAGTAGACAATATTTTACCTCAATGCATTTCCTACATATATCTTTAGAACATTCTTGCAATTAGAATTTTAGTATGACTAATAATGATTATTTTATAAGATGAATATAATTGATAGTGATATACATCAATATCTATGTTTGAAAATTTACAAGTAGAAATATGCTAATTGCTTTGTGTAACGAAATGTGTTTAGTATAAGCCATTTGATAATGTTGCACTAGAAACCTTTTTGATAAGAAACCTTTTATCTTCATACTTTTCTCATAGTTGGCACTAGATTCTTGATTTTTTGTATTTGTTACTCAATGATATTGTATGCATGTTTACTCAATTGTTCTATCCCTATTACAATTAAGGATAGATAAGATCCAAAGGTACAATGCATTAGAAGATATAGAAACTTTGTTTCCAAAAGAGGTACATTGCTCTTTTTACAATAAGGTATTTCCAAAAATACCACTATGATGCGACTAATCATATTCTCTAGACAATTGCATGGATTCAATTCGTTATATATATATTCTATGAAACTATATACATATCTCATGTTTGTTTGATATTGTTTTAAAATTTAAAAATATAAAATGTAGGTATAAAAATGTTGTATATTTGTAATCATTTACAAATTAAGATTCTATTCATTATTTCTATATTTGTTGTTTGTTGTCTTGATCATTATTTTTAATTTTATTATTCAAAGTTGACAACAATGTTATCTCCACTTATATCACAATTACATTATTTTTTTTTTCTATCTTCTAAGTAAACCTAGAAAAAAGAAACTATATGCATACAAACAAGAATGCAACTTGGATGTTGATTGCATTACAAAAAGCCATAGAAAAAAAACCATCAAATTATGTTCATATTCTTTTTACAATTCCATTCTCTAATAAACATACTACTGAGCTTAAATCTTCAACTATCAATCTTCTAGTAAACCATTCATTCCAAACTTGATAAGATTTTAGCAATCAAAATTGATAACATTGTCCCAAATTGCAAAACTTGTAGGATTATTGAGAATTAATACCTACATCATTCAATCAACAATGGTCATAATCTTGTATTTTTTGCTTTATTAATATTATTATTATCATTGACTTTTCTTCTTCTTGACTTGCTTACTAGTTTGTTTTTTCAATAGATTTCTTGTCATGGTGCGTGTTTTTGAAGGGTCTGTAAGCCCTTCCAAATTGCAGCGATTTCCATGGCTATGGCGACTGCGAGCTCCAAGCGCTCGATGGCATCGGATCCACAGACAGGAATCTCGACAATGAGGATGACTTATATCGATGCTCTGGAATGTGAAGAGGCTGTGTTCACCGATTGATGCACAAACACGGAAACGAATCCTGATGCATGGATGGCGCTCTAGTGAAGATCTGTTCACCCTAATCAGTTCTCCGAGACTTTTCGACGACGTGGTTGCAGAAGTTGAGCGACAATTCTTCTTTTTTTCTCTTTTCTTTTTCACTCCGAACAGCTCCGTTCTTCAGCTTGAATGGTGCATCGCAGTGGGTGTTGATAATTGCAGCGACGGCGCCACGATCGAGACGGACAGAAGTGACAGGCAGAACGACGACACCTCGCTTGTTTCGACGCGTTTTCGCTTTCTTTTTAACAGCTGAAGCCTGGGCTGACTGGTTTCCATCGGAGCGATCGCTGTCGAAGTCTGTCAACCATCAATCCTGCCGTTGGCGAGCATAGCCAAGTCGAATCGAGGGGGAGGAGTAGTAGCGGTTTTGAGCGTGCGTATCTCGAGATCTTGGATTTCAACACACATATGCAGGAAAATGGTATGCCTTTTTCTTTTCTCTTTCCTTTGCTGTGCTCTGTTTGTTACACTGTTCAAGCCAACGCACGACTCCTCGTGATTTTGTGGAACTTTGAGCTTCATCGTCTCCGTCCAGCAATCCCTTGAACTTGCAGCTCTGGAAAGTCAACTCACATCTCAAGGAATGCAACGTAAGTAAACGACCCACATAAATTTTGAGAGCATTTCACTTTAGGGTTAACTGTACTTTCATTGTTTTTGTTTTTCTCCTGTCTGGAAATTTGTCTTTACTCTTATGACGTAGGGCTCGTGAGCAAAAGGACTGCCCTGCTCACACTGTTGCAGCGTACAACCACCCCCATATATAATTGTATATGTATAAAACGTTGTTATGATTTCACTCTCATCATGCACTGGCTGTGACATTTTATAACCCTGCACTGTTCCGATGTAACGTTGGGTCCAATAATTTAAGCGGCAGTGGAGAGGAGGAGGTATGCGTTGGCTTCTGGTTGTTTTAAAAACCACCTTCTATTTCGGTCGAGATTCTAGCATCGGGAAGAATGTTCCGGAGAACAGTGCCTAGTTGAAATGCCAATTTGTTCTCATTGACCAGGAGATTTGATGTCACAGTTTCTTTTCATTTCTTAATGAAGTTATAGTAATTGTTTTGAATAGATAATTTTGGTGACGGTAGTGGCCTTAGAATGGATTGAGCTGCTGGTGGGCGTGTCCGGAGGCTGAGATCGGAGCAAGACGCAGCAGTGGGGGGTGTGCGACTCTAGTGGCCGACCCGCTCTTGGGCTTTGCCACCTAAACCTAAACTAAAGAGGCAAAAAATGAGTCATCCTTGCTGCAGAATCGCCACTTGCCGAAGCAGGCCAATGAACGTAGTCTCTTTCGTGTCATTTACCGGTGGCGGTCATGTGAAAGTGCCAGGGACCTTTCTGAGGCATCTTTATCCCTGTTTTCCTCGTTACCACTACCATGCTCAAAAAGAGCAAGAGGCGGCTGCGATTACGAGAGTCGCAGACAGCTGCCGAAATAGCCTTATCACAGAAGTTAGAAAGTGCGAAGTGAGAGTGAGAGAGGCGGCCGGTTTGGAGCTAGAAGATTTGTGGGTTCGTTCTAGGTAGGCGTGGTGTGGCAGTGGATTTAGTCAATGACAAGGAAGCGGTCTTGAGACTTTTGCAGGCACTTAGTGGGTGTGCCAAGAGGGTTAAGTAAATTGTTGGCAATTCGTGGGAGGAGGAGGGACAGTGTTTCGGTCTTGGGGCAGTGGAGGTGAGGGGAGGGGAGTGGAGGGCGGCAGGAAGGGATGGAGGTCGGCGGAGCAGCAGTGGCAGAGTTGGGGAAGGTGATGCCGCGGGTACTCATCGTGTCAAGACGAACGGTGCGGAAGAACAAGTTTGTGAATTTTGTGGGGGAGTACCACTTGGACTTGATTGTGAGCTACGGCGCAGTGCCGGTGATTGTACCGCGAGTGACAGGAGTGCAGTCGCTGCTGGACAGCTTCGAGCCCTTCCACGGGGTGCTGCTGTGCGAGGGGGAGGATGTGGATCCAACGTTGTACATGGAGGCAGGCGAGACGCCCGCTCTGACGCCGGAGGAGCTGGAAGAGATCAAGGCGGCACACAGCAGTGACACATCCATTGACCGGGACAAAGATTCGATCGAGCTGCAACTGGCACGGAGGTGTTTGGAACGCAACATTCCTTATCTCGGAATATGCCGCGGTAGCCAGGTTCTGAACGTCGCATGTGGGGGGACATTGTACCAAGATGTGGAAAGAGAGCTTGGGCGAAAGACTGGCGTGGAAGTACAGCACATGGATTACTCGAATTATGACGGACACCGTCATCCAGTGACGATTGTGAAAGACACACCCCTGCATGAATGGTACATTCAGTCGCTCCAGGATGACATGCAGATCAATGTCAACAGTTATCACCACCAGGGAGTGAAGAAGCTTTCGCAAAGATTCAAGCCGATGGCCCATGCGCCGGACAGTCTTGTGGAAGGTTTCTATGACCCAGACGTGTACAAACCTGAGGAGGGCAAGTTCATAGTGGGCCTACAGTTCCATCCTGAGCGCATGCAGCACGAGCAGTTTCCAGCAAATGGGAACCCTAATTCTCCCCCCGAGTCAGTGTTTGACTACCCCGGCTGTCCTCGAGCGTACCAGGAGTTTGTGAAGGCAGTCGTAGCATACAAGAAGAAGATCGAAACCTCAGGTGCCGAAAAGACACGGTCGAGGCTAAGAGAGCTTTCACCTTGGATTGAGAAACGGCGGAAGGAGCTGGTGTACAGCTTCTCCTTGGCGAAGAACATGTATGAGGAGCAGAGGAGAGCACACTCGGTGCACAACGCGAGCATCGCCTTGCAGGCATTGTCACTGTCTTTTTCTAAAAGCCAGCATGATCTCAATCTAGGTGCTGAATTTCTCAAGGTTAATTCCCCTCTCAACAAGCAGCAGGTAAACCGGCTGAATCAGATGGGGGCTACTGTTCGAAATTCAAAGAATTTCCAGCTAACCTTGGAAATCGCGAGGAAAAAGGAAAGCTCTGCGAGGAAGTGGCTCGAGGACATGTCGCGGGCTGAAGTGCAGGAATTGCATGAATTCTACCAGATGATGGTTGATGTATCATCTCAGGTGTTAGAGCAAAAGCAGAGGCTTTCATGATGCCTCTCGTTGCGAACTTAGGAGCGCATGCCATTATCATAGGTGTAGGAAGACCTCTAGATTCTACTGCATGAATATGTGGTGGTTTTTAATAGAATATTACAACTAGATCATGAGCGGGAGATTTTTCACTGATCATTGACAAATATGATCCATATTGTTTGGGTTGCAATGGGGACCTCTCTCTCCCTCTCTCCCTCCCTCTCGCTCTCTCTTTTCCTCTCCTTTTTTGTCAATTATTTAATTTTGGCTGTCTGTTGTGGTCTCTCAATCTGGAAACCTTAGTAATTACCTTACAACTATCATGTAAATAGTGATTTCTGGGAGGAATGTTATTTCCAAATTCTTTCTGGCAAGGTCAAGTCCAGCGGTCCCGGGAAGATTGTGTAGAAGATCCGGTGCAGGTTAGAGTTTAGAGTGAAGGTCTTGGTAAACAAGACTTTCGTGCAGTTCTTTTTCTGCACAACCTTGTTTCTATTGTGCATGCTGTTTCCCATGATTCTTGTTTTTATGACAATGAAGCCACATTCTTCTACCAAAGTGCAGAACTTGCATTTCTTCAAATATGACCGAAAGACTGATGAGCTGTGGGGGGGGTATGAAGACGACGTGCTAACGATCTTCGTCTCGCACAACGGCCCGACCTGTGAGTTGCCACATTGGTGCACAAGCTTCAGTTTTGTATGTTTCACGAGTAAGATGCTCTTCGTGTGGACTTCTTCTGATTTACTAAAGCAAGGGAGAATGAGCGTATCTCATGGGAGAATAATCTAGACTTTGAAAAGGCAGGAATTGACAAAGCCCAGGGGAAGATGCATCTGAATACAGTAGCAAATTGGCTGTCAACCGTACTACTGTACATGTGCTTTCGAACTGGCCACGGAACAGCAACTTTGACTGTCTGTTTTTCTTGTTGCCATCTTGCGAATATTAAAACTCAACGCCTCTGGGCATCTGTAATAAAGCTTTCAATGAATGTTATCTCATTCTACTATATCTTGTTTTTTTTTTTTTTTTTTTTTTTTTTTTTGCATATTCCATTTTGTACAACAAAAAGTGGGTAGTTTGTGTTTTAACCTCACCGTGAAGATAACAGTTGACTGTGATCACTCTTAAGTTTAATAGATGCAGCATCAACTGTATCGGTGCCTTCGTAGTAGTTGGATAGAAAGGTAGATAACAACCTTATCAGATTGTGACTCTTTTTTACGTTCCAAATCCTCTCAGTTTTACTGAAGGTATGTGAAGTAAGCAAAGCTCATGTATTTTCCCCATCTGTGTAGTGTTTAGATGTTCTACTGGCCTGTTTTGAACAGATATTCTGTGTGACGTTGGTATGGTTTTTGGCTTAAACAACAATTGAAATTGATTGTACAGATGTGTGTTATTTGGTATCTCGATGTTCATTAAGTTCTTTGACAACAAGATTGCATATATATATATATATACAAATATATTTCTTAACAAGGAAATCAGCTTCATGGTCATGTTCAGTTTCTTTCGTTACAGAACTTTTCTCCATGGTTATCTAGAATCATTTCTCTATATTTATCTAAAAAATATCTTCTCTATAGTTACAAAAACATCATGCTGAAGAAAAAAAATTAAGTGAATAAATTGGCACTATTTATACAATTCTTTCAAATTTGAGTCTGATAAATTCTTGAAGATTTACCAACAGTTTTTCAAGTTCTTTAAATGCTGAGTTATATAATTTTCATGTTGCACAATATTTAATTTTATCAGGAAAAATAATTGAGAATTGGTAGGATTTCTAACTGTTTTACTGGTAGCTTATAATACAATTCAAAAATGGTTCTGGCAGTTAACTACGTTTATTAACTTTATTGATTGTTTGTGGATAAAAAAAACATAAAAGAAAAAACTATAAAATGTTAAGAAATCAATTTTCGTTATAAAAGATAAACGTAATCTTTTCTATTTGTCCACCATCTGGTCTAGTTATTAATACTATTTGTCAAAAGGATATAAAATTGAAGTTGTACAATACACTCAAGTCTAAATATTTTATTCTTTAAAACATCACACAAAAAAAAAAAAAAAAAAAAAAAAAAAAACTATATTTTGAATAGTGTACGATTATTACTTGTGATAAAAACATTCTAAAATCTTTATTGATGCTTAATCATTGGAAGTTACTAATGCTTGAAGGGTTCATAATTGGAGGAACTATATATATATATATATATTTATACATATAATTTTTTCGATGTAATCTATAATTGACTTAAATATTTAACGAAGAATAAAATAATAGACTATAATTTTAAATTAAATCAAATTAAAATACACTAAATAAAAAATTGATTATTTCATTCACAATATAATTAAAATATATAAATATATTTTTAGGTAATGTGTGATGTTTAAGAATGTTTTAAAACATTTTCTATTCTTTTAGAAGTTTTTTTTCTAAGTATAATCTTTATATATTTGAATATTTTCAAAAAAAAAGACTCAAAAAGTTCATAAAAACATGTCTTTCATAAATACAATTAATTAAAAAAATTGAAGCTACTACGGCATATTTTTATTATCTTTATTAAATTATCTAATATTTATATTTGTTACCATTTTTATAACTTATTGTACTTTTTTTTAGTATTTTAAAAATAATATTCATAATTTAAGAAATTAAACATATATATGGATACTTCTTGCAATTGACCATCAAAGAAAATTAAAAAATAAATAAATTATTATTTTTGAAATGTAAAAAAGAAATCGTGAAATAATGTTATAAATTCACAAGTCTGAAATGATTTGGAATTTTTATAATTAACTTATATTTAAAAATAAATACTTTTTTAGAGTTAAAATTTTGATATAATATAAAGATGATACATTGTCTTTAATCCCTCCCTTTCTCCCCTCTCTCATCCACACCCTTAACTAATTAAAGGTTAAAAAAGACACTCTTGTCTATCTTAGCAACCTCTACACATATATACTTTAAGTGGAAGCAAGCCCTCGAAATTTCTTATACATTAAATAAAATAAATAAATAAAATACAAGGTATTGCAATATATTTTTTTTATGTCAAAATATTTTTTTATAAAACAATACTATATTTTATAGCAAGGTAAGTAATGTCCTTGTTGTTCTAGCTAATGGGGCTACAAAAATTATTCTTTTCTTTGGCCTTCTATTAAAATTTCTACATGTAAATTCAATAAATAATGGTTAAACTATTTATTTATAATCTATTCATAATCTATACACATGAACTAGACAAAGTACACAAGGAATTAATAGTAATAATAATTATTATTGTATATATATATATATATACATATACATATATATATATACATATACATACATACATAAAGGCATATAATTTGAAATAGGAGTTGGTCTAATTCTTCAAAAAATACTGAATTAATAAAAAAATATTAACAATAAGAATAGAACCAAAATTTTAAATTTAATCATTGTTATTGGTAATTCTAATATCATTTCTAGAAGTTAAATTATTATATTTGAATGAGAATACCTTGAACCTAAATACATACATAATATTTATTTTGCCAAGTTTTATAATACTTAAAACTTCACCTTATTAAAGTTCAAGTTATAAGATGAAGCTAAATATTTATTGACATTGAAACATGTTAAAAATAAGTTACTGTAGGTAATTATAATTACCTATGATCAAGCTATTATATATTAAAACAAGAATTTTAAGTGATTTTTATTATTATTTAATAATAAAAATAAAAATTTAATGACTGTATTTTTTTTCAAGTATAATATCTAAACTATCAAAAAAATAAAAATAAAAACATGATTAATATAACTTTCTAAATTATTACTAAGATTTTGTTTTAAATAATATTATTTAAAATTTAAAATATGCTTATATATTAAATTTATTAAATTTATTTTAATTTAAAATATTTTTATCAATTCATAATAAATAAATTTAATAAATTTTTTTTATTAAAAAAATTTGATGTTTTAAAAACAAGTATGAGATTGAAATTGCCTTTCAATTTTTTAAATATAATCAGCAGTATTATAGTTTTTACAATTTTAAGTTGTTTACATTTGCACTATTTTGAAATTTCAATACTTTTTTAAAGAAACATAAACAAATTCTTTGGATGAAGTAATAGTTTTCATATAATTTAATTTGTACTGTGCAAGATACTTTTTTTATTGTGTGGTCAAGCACAATATTAGTACTACAAGACATATTTTCAAGTATAGAATACATTATTCTTCATATTAATTATTTATGAATATAGATTTAATTTTATTATGGCATATTGTATTTATGTGTGTGTATATATATATATATATATATATATATATATATATATACGTAGAATATTGTAGTAGTAAAAATCTACTAGAGAAGTGAAATTAATTTTTTTATTGTATTTGATTTTTAAAGTAACTAAAAAAAAAATTATTAATAGGTTATACTTATCTATTTCTTTTGGATAAAAGGTATATTAAAGAAAGCTTATGATAAGAAAATTAAAAAAACAAAAAACAAAAAAAAAAAAAAAAAAAAAAAAAAAAAAAACTTCAAAAATATGTAAAAGTTATTGAAAAGATTCATATATTTGATATACAAAATATTATATTTGTATATTCTAGGCAATAAATATGTAACATCTTACATTTTCAAGGGACATAAATGTTGAAATCAAAGAACTTTTAGTAATTTTTAATTATAGATTTCTTAAGATTTTTGATAATTTTTTAGTTTACATATATTTTTAACGATATTATTATTTAAAAAATGAAATAATTTTTTAATGGTTTGTATACTTTTTTTAGATTTATTTCATAATAAATAAAAAATTATAAATTATCAAATAAAAAAAATAGTCATAAACATCCAGGTGAATGTTAAATTTGTTAGTTATAGTATGTCATTTGTTTTCTTTAGAAGATTTCATACATAATTCTAAACTAGTGCATGTTAACCTTGAATTTTACATTGATTAGAAAATATTTATTGCATAAAAATACCAAATTTAGCAATTAACATTATCAAAAAAATGACATAAAACTTATTCTTCATAAGATATCAAGCTTGAAGAGGGTTTGATCTCACCTTAAAGAAACATAAAGTGATAATTTGGCTTGTTACATATTCACCAGAAGTATCCACCCAAAAATAAAAATTATTTTATTGAAGTTATTAAGTTGTTAACAATATCTATCTTAATAGGAATTCTACACCAACTTCTAATATAAATTATACTACACACAATTAGACTTTAGTAAAGGTTGCAAGAATTAGAGTGAGCTCAAAAGAATTAAAAAATAGACAAATCAATAAATTAAATAATAGTCTATATTCTCAAATAGTTCAAAAAATAATCTCATATTTACAACAACACTAATAACACCATGGTTTTTGTATGGAGCAATTACTATTAATTAATTTATATCTTCTTCTACATGTGTACAAATCCATAATGATTGATCTTTTGGTTACTTGTGTTGCTTTGATTTATTGCATGCTAGCTATAATTATAGTAAAATTTAATTTTTTACAATTTAATCCAAACTTTAGAACATCCAATGTTTATAGAGATTAGGTATATTCAATATTCTTACTATAGTCCAAACCCTATTTATCCGTTTACTGTGTGGATCAAGTATTTCCAACCTCTCTTCTATTATCTCGACCTTACTATTTTCAAATCCCTATGTTGAGTTGATTCTTAAATATTACCCTTGATTATAAATAATAGTTAATAATATGTTATATATTTGATTAATTTTTTTTAAAAAAAAAAAAAAAAAAAAAAAAAAACACCAAGATTTAAGTTAAGAAAAAAACTTCTTCAATATAAATATAATTAAAAAAATAATGTAGTTTTTTACAAATTAGATTCATTCCACATTACCAATATAAAACATAAAAGAGTTATTGCACTAGATATTGATTATTTTTTATATTACATTTACTATGAATATATATATTAGTATTTTATTCTT